CGCCCAAGGCCTACGCCGCGCCGTCGCCCGACTCCGTCGCGAGCGGCGCGAGCGACCCGCGCGTCGCGACGCTGTCGCCGGCGCGCGAGCGGCGGCGCGACGCGCCCCAGAAGGACGCGCGGCGCGCGCGCTTCGACGCGGCGGCGGCGGCGGCGGAGACGCCGCCGCCGCCGACGGCGACGCCGCCCGCCGCGGAGACGCCGCCGCCGCCGACGGCGTCGCCGCCGCCGACGGGGCCGCCGCAGCCGCTGCCGCCGACCTGGGGCGCGCAGGCCGCGGCCGCGCGGGCGCCGCCGCCCGGCGCGGTCTGCAACCGCCACGGCCTCAAGGACTGCTTCCTCTGCTCGCTCCAGCTCGGCGGCGCCAAGGGCGGCTTCAGCCCGCCGCGCGACGCCGCGCGCGCGCCGCAGCCCCCGGCCGGCGCGCCCTGCTCGCAGCACGGCGTCGCGGGCTGCATCGTCTGCGGGGGCCGCGGGGCCTTCAAGCCCGCGCCGGCGGCCCAGGCGCCGCCGCCGGACCCGTCGCAGCCCTGCGCGCGGCACGGCCTCGCGTCGTGCTTCCTCTGCTCGCTCCAGAAGCACGGCGTGGGCCACGCGCTCGGCGCGCCGCCGGCGGCGGCGGCGCCGCCGAACCGGCCGCCGCCGCTGGCCGCGCCCGCGGCCTACCTGGGCGCCGCGCCGCCGGCGTACCAGCCGTCGCCGACGGGCTACGGGCAGCAGGCGGCCTACTACGCGCCCCAGCCCCTGCCGACGCCCGGCGCGGCCTACGGCTACTACGCGGCGGCGGCGGGCTACGCGCCCCAGCCCTTCTACGGCGCCGCGGGGTCGCCGGGCGGCGGCGCGGCCTACGGCGGCGGCGCGCCGCCGACGACGGAGTGGCCCGCGGTCACGCACGGCTCGCTGCCCATCCACAGCCCGTTCCCCGACGCCTACGGCAACCGCCAGCCCCAGCCCCACCCCCTCGCCGCGCGGCCGCCGGTCCAGGCCCAGCCGCTCGCGACGCCGCAGCCGCCGCGGCCCGTTCCCGCGGCCGACGCGCCCGCGAGCCGGAGCCCCAAGAAGTCGCCGAAGCGCGCGCCGGGCGCCGCGGCGCCCGCGGGCGCCGCGGGCGCCGCGCCGCGCCAGCCCCTGCCGCCCCTGGACAGCGCCTTCTCGCCGGACGACGCGGGCTTCGGCGCCGGCGACGCCGCGGGGCCCGAGGCGCGGACGCCGCGCCGCGGCCGCCGGCCGCCGCCGCCCATGCCGTCGCCGGGCGCGGCGCCGCCGCCCGCGGCGCAGCCGCCCGCGGCCGCGCGCGCGAAGAAGGGGCCCAAGCCCGCGGCCAAGGGCCTCGGCGGCGCCGGCGGCCGCCCGAAGCCGCGCGCGAGCAACCCCTACGCGGCCGGCGCGCGGGGCCGGAAGCGCGGCGAGCCCGCGAAGGCGCTCCGCCTCAAGCGCGCGCTCACCTTCGAGGAGCAGACCCTGGGCAGCACGGACGAGGAGATCACGCCCTCGAACGCGCTCCGCGCCGCGAACCGCCTCCTCCGGCAAAAGCCGACGAACCGGCCCGAATTCGACGCCCGCCTCGTCCGATGAGGCCGATCCACCTCTTCTGGTTCCCCCCCTAATTCTGTGTCCCCTTGAGCTTCGCCGACGCGTGTTGCAGTTAGCGCCGCGACTAGCCGGGGGACGGGTCGCAGGCGCTCCGCTTGCAGGCCATCTTGCTGTCGTACTGCCAGTACGTCTCGAGGTTGTTGAGGCAGCCGCGCTCGATGATGCCGTCGGAGAAGGTCGACGCGCGCGTGCCGACGAAGACGTGGGCCTTGGCGCCGGGGTAGTAGAAGTCGAGGACGGCCGTGTCGCCGCCGGACTCCGTGCGCATGGTCGAGCCGCGCTTGTGCCACTGGCGCGTGTGCGTGACCTGCATGGACGGGTCCGCGTACGCGACGGCGCCGTAGGCGCCCAGGCGCGCGGTCGCGTTCTCGCGGAAGGCGCGCTCGTCGGTGGCGAGGTAGATGCGGATGGCCGCGCCGGGCCGGGCGCTTTGGACCCCCTCGAGGGCCCGCGCCGCGCAGTCGAAGAAGCCCGCGCCCCAGACGTCGAGCGGCGGCCGGCTCGGGTGCTCCTCGCCCTCGACCGAAGGCGTCCAGGACCGCAGGTGGAGGCCGACGACGACGTCCGCGGGGCCCGACGCGTCGTCGACGGCCGCGACGGCCCGCGCGAGGCGCGGCGACGGCGCGTCGAGGACCAAACGGCTCAGCGCGCCCGCGAGGCACGCGCGCCGCGCCGCGCACGCCGCGCCGAAGAGCCGCGCCGCGCAGGCCCGCGTGGCGTCGCTCCCGGGCAGGGACGTGCCGCCGCTCGACGAGATGGCGAAGGTCGGGCTCGACGGGCCCCGGAGCCGGTCGAGGTAGACGTCTTCGACGCCCTCCACTTTGCCGACGGCCGTCTCCGTCCAGAACGTGGTGTTGCGCGCGTCGAGCCACCACTCGCCGGGCTCCGGCGCCCGATCGAAGGCGAGGCGCAGCGGCGGCGCGGCCGCGAAGTTCCGCTCGAGGTCGGGCCAGTCGAGCGCGAGCCGCCGGCCCGTCGCCGCGGCGATGAGGACGCCGCCGTTGACGGAGCCCCGGATGGAGTTGGCCATGCCGAAGCCCGCCTGCTGCATGACGACGTACCGCGCCCCGGGCCGCGGCTCGCCGCTGTCGAGCAGCAGCTCGCGCCGCAGGCAACCGAAGTGGGGCGCGCTCCAGGGCGCGAAGCGGGCGCAGGCGACGGCCGCGCCGCAGGCGTCGGCGTCGTCGGCGAGGCAGCCGCTCGGCTCGCCCTGCGAGGCCTTGTCCGCGTAGCGCGACGCGCTCGCGACGGCCGCGGCTGCGAGGAGAGGTCGTGAGAAGCCCACCATTGCTCTCCGAAATCGACCCCCGCCAAGAGACGCGACCGCGGTGGCGCTAGCGTGCGGCACTTGTGCGGCGCGTCGCGAGCCACCGACGCCTCCGAGTCCGCTCCCAGTAGCACGACGAAGCTAAAATACACACGACCTCGGCGCGCGCGCGCCTGCTAGAACATGATCGTCAGCTGCGGCGGGGCGGGATTTGGGATGCCGACCTGGACCATGCGGCCGTCGGGCGCGCGGACGGTGAGGACGGCGCCCGGCGCCGTGCCCGCGGGCACGTCGATGACCATCTGCTGCTGGGGCGCGGCTTCCGCGGAGAACTCGGCGCCGAAGGCCGCCTTGCGCGACTCGTTGAAGATGAAGTGGATCGCCGGGCCGAACCACTGTTCGTTCAGGCGGTTGAATGAGATGTGCTTGTGCGTCTTGCCCCATTCGGGCTCGAAGACGAGGCGCACGCCCACGGACGCGAACGCCGGCGCGTGCGCGTGGATCGTCGCCGCCAGCTCCGCCCTCCAGCGGTGGCACGTCGCCTTCATCTCGCCGCTGCCGGTGGTCATGGCGGAGAACGTGGCCATTAAGCCCCGCGGCGTCTCGTTGTAGGGCAGCGCGGCCAGGGCCTGCGCGAGGCCCTGGATGAGCTGGGGCGGCACGTTGCGCTTGACGAGGAAGAGGCCCGACGTGCAGAGGGGCGACGGCATGGAGAAGGGCCGCTCCTTGCTGCACTGGCAGAAGACGGTCACGGTCTCCGCGGTCTCCGCCGTCCGGCTCGGCATGGGATCATCCCCGATGTCCATGCCGGGTCGGGCTGGATGGCTTCTTGATCACCGCCGACCTTGACGAAGTCATTGAAGACGCTCATTAATCGCGCTTCGCGAGGGGCGGCTCCGGCGAGGCCTCGGGCGGCGGCGGCGGCGCGTCCGCCGCCTTTTCGGGCTCCTTCTCCGGCGGCGTCGTGTCCTCGGGCTCCGCGTCGACCGCGCCGAGCTCGATGCCGTCGTCGTCGTCGTCGTCGCCGAGCTCGTCGAACGTGTCGACCATGACGTAGGCGTTCTTCTCGGCGTCGCGCCGCGCCCGCAGGCTCCGGAGGCCGCATATGAGCGCCAGGTGCGCGGCGGCCACGGCGGCGGCGAGCGCCAGGGCGACGTAGGCCGGGAAGGCCTTGGGCCGCTTCGTGCACAGCGACCGGTCGACGGACGGCCGCGCGGGGTCCGCGACGTCGACGGCGACGACGGCGGCGGACGTGCGCGACGCGACGAAGGCGAGGGCGCGCGTCGCGTCGTAGGCGACGGCCTCGCCGCCCTCGAGGAGGTCGTGGCCCACGGAGCCCGCGACGGCCGGCGCGCGCGGGTCCGCGACGTCGACGACGGCGACGACCCCCGCGTACTCCGCGGCCACGAAGGCGAGCTTGCGTCGCACGTCGAGCGCGACGCCCGTCGCGCCGTCGAGGACCTCGTGGTCGACGAGGACGGCGAGGAGCGCGGGGTTTCGCGGGTCGGTTACGTTCACGACCGCGAAGCTGTCGGCTTTCTGCGACGCCGCGTAGAGCACGTTCGCCTCCGCGTCGAAGGCGAGCTGGCTCACGTAGTCGATGCGCGCGTCGTAGACCTCGCCGACCTTGACCGGCCGCGCCGGGTCCGCGACGTCGACGACCTCGAGCGTCGCTGCCTTGTCGTTCGACACGTAGACGAGCTGCCGCGGTGCGTCGGCGACGCAGTAGACGGGGTAGGCGTCGCCGTTGCCCCGGCCGCGCTCGTCGCCCCAGTCCGTGAGCCGGCCGACGACGCGCAGGCGCGCCGGGTCCGCCGCGTCGACGACGGCCAACGAGTGGCCGAGGCCCCGGGCCTGCTCGTCGCGGTGCTCGGCGTTGTCGTGGTCGTCGCTGCGGCCGTGGCCGCCCGCCGCGTCCACGAAGACGAGGCGCCGCGCGGCGTCGTAGGACGCGTGCGTCGCCGAGTGGAGCGCGACGCCGTCCTCCACCCACCCGACGACGGCGCCGCCGCGCCGCGGCGCGCCGACGTCGAGCGCGGCGAGCGAGTGCTTCGTGTAGGACGCGGCGAAGACGAGCTCGCGGTCGGCGTCGTAGGCGAAGCCGTGCGCGTTGCCGAAGCGCTCGTGGTCCACGTAGAGCCCCGACAGCGCGATGTCCTCGCCGCGCGCGTCGAGCACCGCGACGCTGTCCGCGTGGAGCGCCGAGACGACGAGGCGCCCGCGGCGCTCGTCGTAGGCGATGTCGCGCGCGCCCTGGAGGTAGTCCGCGAACCGGCTCCGGTCGACGACGTAGTCCCAGGCATATGCCGTCGCCGCGATGACGGCCAGGCCGTACACGACGACGGCGACGCAGCGGCCGACGGACGCGAGGCGGCCCATCGGTGTTTTTTTTTGGGAGCTGCCTCCTAGGTTCCCGTGCCGCGCGCAATGAACGCGCGCCGCGTCGCGGCAGCCCTGTTGTCGACGATTTATTTCGGGGGCGCCCCGCGCGCGCGTCTGCATCATCAGGCTCAACGTATCACTCGGGGCCATCACGCGAGGCACTGACCGGCTGGCCCCGAGACGACTCGTGCGACGCGCGCCGCCAGCCATGGACCGCCTCCTCGCCGGCGGCCAGGGCTCGTCGCGGCCCATCGCCATCGGCGCCGAGCCCCTCGACCCCCTGCGGCCCGGCACGGACACGGCCAACTCCTGGCACGGGTCGAGCCCGGCCTTCATCGGCGCCGCCGACGACGACGTGACGCGCGCGCCGGTCATCGGGTCCATGCCCGTGTCGTCGCGGCTCCAGTCGTCGCTGCCGCCCCTGACGCTCCCGGCGTCCGTGGGCGACGCGACGGCGACGATCTCGCTCTCCGTGTCGCTGCGGAGCTCCGACGGGAAGCTCGGCTCCGGCTCCGGCTCCGGCGGGACCGCGGCGTCGCTCATCGGCGCGCTGTCCCTCGGCGACAAGGGGGGCTCCGAGGCGGGCTCGCTCCGCGCGCTCTCGCTCCTCGAGTCCTCGGAGTTTAAATCGCACGTGCTCCAGCGGCGGCGGCTCAACAGCGCGGACCTCCCGCCGCGGCCGCCGCCGCCGCCGCCGGGCCGCGACGTCGACGACCTCGAGATCGACGACGAGGCCCTGGGCATGGCCGACGACGACCAGTTCGGCTTCGAGATGGAGCACCACGCGCCCGCGAACTAGCCGCGCCGCCGCGGAATCCTGGATATTCTCTGTAAAAAAACTCGGCTCGCGTCTTGTTCGAACGGCACTCCCGGGTTGCGCCGTTCGTGTTGCTGGTTTGGTACCGGAGAGCGCGGCGCGTTCGCAACGTCACTGCTGTCCAGACTGCTGCCGCTCGGTGGACCCCTGAGCCGCGGCCGCCGGCGGTCTCCGCGGCGGCGTGACGCGTGGCCGCCGGCGTTCCTTTTGTGTCGGCGCGCTTGGCTTGGCATAGCCAGGCGTTCCGCGGCCAGAACCCCGAGTCGGACGCTCGTTTGGACGAGTCCGCCGTTTGGATGAAGGCATGTTGAAAACTTCAATTTTCGGAAGAATCCGTCGCAGACAAGTCGCGGACGCTCTCCAAGTGCAAGCGGTGCTTACGCGACGCTCGGCGCAGCGCGCGGTGCTTGGCTGCTGCTGAGCCGTTGCCAGGTGCTTTCGTACCTCTCTCGCTGCCGCACCACCGCGCCTCGCCGAAAACTCCGGCGATCGACATTTGGTGGCCGCGATCCGCCGCAAGTTGAGGACGCAATCCGCTGCGCTCCGCAACGCCACACGCAATCCGCCGCTCGCAACACAATGGCCGCGGACCTGGTACCGGCCATCCGCTGGTGCGAGGCGTCGGTGCGGCCCGTCGAGTACGCGAACACGGCGAGCAACCTCGCGTTCGTCGTCGCCGCCGTCGCGGGCCTCAGGCGCGCGCGCGCGTGCCGGCTGCCGCGGGCCTTCTACGCCGCGGAGGTCGCGCTCCTCGTCGTCGCCTGCGGGAGCGTGCTCTTCCACTACACGCAGAGCTGGCGCTACGAGGTCGCGGACGAGCTGCCCATGTCGCTGCTCGCCGTCGCGTACCTGTTCACGATCAGCGACCTCCACTGGCTCACGCGGGGCAAGTTCCGGCGGCCCGTCTTCGTCGCCAGCGGCCTCTGCACGCTCGCCGGCTGGTGCGTCTACTTGCGGGCGCGCGACTTCGACGTCTTCCACGCGCTCTTCACGGCGCAGGTCGCGCTCAGCGTCCCGTGGCCGCGACGATTTTCGAGAGATTTGGGGTGGGAAAACAATGAGAAACGTCATGCGTGGTAGGTCGCGCTGCCCGCGCTCGTGTCCTGCCACGCGGCGTCGGACCTCGGCTGCCCGCGGTCGAGCTGGCTCGCGTTCCTCCTGCTCATCGCCCTCGGCAAGGGCTTGTGGAACGTCGAGCGCCACCTCTGGGCGACGGGCGCGTGCCCGGCGAGCTACTGGAGCCCGGCGTACTACCTCCACGCGGCCTGGCACGTCCTCTCCGCGGCCGCGCACGCCGCGGCCATGGTCTACCACAAGGAGCTCTACGTCGCCGCGCGGGACCTCTGCGTCGTCGACGCGGCACCGCCCGCGAAGAAGCGCGCGAGCGCGGAGAACCTCCTCGCCGTCGTCTAATCCTGGTAGGGCGCCGTTAGGCCGCCGGGCGCTACGAACCTCCTCGCCGTCGTGTAATCCTCGTTAGGCCGCCGGGCGCGACGCTAGGGGAAGAGGATGCCCGCGAGGAAGGCGGCGAGCTTGGCGAGCTCCTCGGGGTGCGCGCTGTGGCCCATGGGGTAGTTCGACGCGTCCACGGTCACGCCCCGGGCCGTGAGGAGGTCGACGCCGATCTTCTGGTGGGGGAAGAGGACCTTGTCGTCCATGGCGCCGTGGCCCCAGAGGCAGGGCGTGGCCTTGGACGCCTCCGTCGGGAACTCCTTGCCCTCCGCGAAGTCGGCCTTCATGTTGAGCCACCCGCTGAGCGCGACGCAGCCGCCGAGCTTCGCGGGGTGCCGGTAGGCCGTGTTCAGCGCGATGGCGCCGCCCTGGCTGAAGCCGCCGACGACGATGCGCTCCGTGGGCACGCCCGCCGCCTCGAGCTTGGCGATGGCCGCGCGGATCGTCTCCACCGCCCGCATCGTCCCCGCGGGGTCGTCGGGCGCCGTGACGTCGATGGGCCAGTCGTACAAATCGAACCAGCCGGGCATCGTCGCGCCGCCGTTGACCGAGATGGGGATCACCGGCGCCGCGGGGAAGTCCCAGGTGATCTCCGGCGACGCGAGCTTCGGATTCAGCTGCGCCATCTGGTGCTTGATGTCGCTCCAGCCCGCCGGCGTGTCGCCGAGGCCGTGCAGGAAGATGACGCCCGCCTTCTGGCACGTCGCGGTCGTCGCGGCAGCAGACATGGTCGTGAACGAGAGGGAGAGAGCGGCAGGGAGAGAGCGGAGAGAGCGGCTCAGCATACGGCGGTACGAATTGCCACTACTTGGCATCTCGGGCCAAAGTTGAAGCGGCAAGTTGAATGTTATGGGTGCGGCGACGCGTCGCGCCGCGGTGCCTCCGGCGCTCCGCCGCAGCGCCTCATGCCTCGCCCGGGGGCGGCGGCCGCCGCACGGGCGCGCGCTTCGTCCGCGCGCGCTTTCGCGGCCGCGCGGCGTCGCGCACGGCGCCCTCGAGCTGCGCCTCGAGGGCGGCGACCTGGGCGTCGCTGGCGAGGGCCTGGAGCGCCGGGGCGGCGCCGGTCGAGGACTCGGCGAGCGCGAAGGCCATCTGCCAGTAGTCGAGGCACGCGTCCTTCGTCCGTTGTCGCTGCGGCGGGGGGTTCGGGGGTTCGGGCGCGCGCGGGCGGTCGCGGGGAGCGCACGCACCAGCGACTGCGTCGCGGCCTGCGGCTCCGGCTTCTTCCGCCGCTTCTTCGTGTTGTGCGACGCGCCTGCGACGGGTCGACGGGTCGCGGCGTCCGGCGGCGGACGGCCGCGCGCGGCGGGGGGGGGCGCCGGAGCCGCGCAGCGCTCGCAGAGCACGAAGCCCGTGTCGTCGGCGAGGCGCGGCGCCGAGGCGCCAAGGAACCCGTCGCACGCTGCACACACGTCGCCTTTCGGGTGCGACTTCTGCCGGGCGCGCACGGGCTTGGACATGGCGGCTGCGCGCAGCGGTTCGCGCGCGCTGTCTTTTTGCAGTGGTGCCGATGCCGACAAAAGGTCAGGGAATGCGGTGGTCGCGCGCGCCCTGCGGTGTGCGACGCGCAGACCTCGGAGAGCCTGCAATGCTGCTTCACCTTGCTCAATGGGGGGATGTTTGCCCAGCAACAACATTAAACTCGGAGGGTGGCTGCCGACGACGGCAGCCATGGCTCCCCGCGAAGAGCCCCGCCTCTCGCACGGCGAAGAGCTCCGCATGCAGCATCTTTTCGACGGCGAGGAACTGGAGGAATTTATTTACACCTTGCGTTGCAAGCTCTTGACGCGCCGCCGGCGCTGCGTCACGACGCGGGAGCGCCTCCCGCACGGCAGCAGCCCGGAGCCCTTCAGGACCGTGGTGCCGCACCTGGGCCCCTGGCTCGACGGCGCGGCCTCCGTGGCGGCGCTGGCGCGGTCGGCGCGCCTGGGCCAGCAGGACGTCGACGCGCTCTGGATCTCCTTTTTCTGCGCGCGGAAATGGCGCGTCGCGCGGTCGCCGCTCGGCCGGGGCTGGGAGGGGCCGGCGGTCCTCGCGATCCTGCCCGCGGACGTGCGCGCCGCGCTGCGGGAGCGGGGCGCGGGCGCAACGCTCGTGGAGGCGACGCTCGCCCTCGAGCGGGCGCGGCGCGCGGCGCTCCTGCGGCGCGGCTGGGAGGGGCACCTGGACCGCCACTTCCTGGGGAACGTGCCGCGGCCGCACGCGGGCTGGGAGCGGCGGCGCTGGCGCGTGTTCCGGGACCGGGGCGGCGCGTGGCTCATCGAAGCCTACTCGCTCGAGGGGCGGCGGGTCTGGTCCCACCGGCTCCAGGGCGACGAGACCGTGGAGCCCTACGACGCGCGCGACGGCGAACAGCTCAACGACGACCTGCGCTGCCGGGGCGTCTGGAACCTCATCGACTTCTCCGACCCCGGCGGCGGGCACCACAACGCACCCCTGTTCACGGTGCTGCGGCTCGACCTGCCGCTCCTGTTGCGCGCGACGTCGCGCGCGGACATGGACGAGTTCGCGGAGCTGTTCTCGAGCGTCGGCGCGGACCGCGTCGCGCGGACGTGCGCTAAGGCGAGCGACGACGCGGCCGCGCGGTGGCCGGCGCCCTGGATGGTCGTCGCCGTCGCCGCGTGCCTCGCCGTCGCGCGCCCGTACCCGCGGCTCCTCGCGGACGTCCTGAGTTAGAACGATGCAGTAACGAACTCACGAATACAAACGTGAATGACCTTAAAACGGCCGTTATCGCCGGAACGTCGCGGCCTCGAGCTCGCCGCGGAGCCCCGCCGCGTCCGCCGACGTAGCGGTCGGGCCCGACGAGGACGAGGGCGACGCCCGGCGGCGCGGCGAGGTCCGCCGCGTCGCCGTCGACGTCGAGGGCGGCCCCGAGGCCCGCGGCCGCCGCGGCCGCCGCGGCGCCCGCGGCCGGGTCGACGACGAGGAGGGAGAACTTGGCCGGGCCGAGGCGCGCCGCCGCGGCGCAGTCCGGGAGCCGCTCGCCGGGCGCGACGCGCGGCGCGTAGGCCCGGGAGCCCGGCCGCGCGGCGGCAACCGCGGCGTCCGCCGCGGCCGCCGCGGAGCCGCCGTCGTAGCGGAGGCCGAGGTCGTGGCGCGGGAAGAAGAGGGGCAGCTCGGCCTCGCGGTCGAGGAGCGCCGCGAGGCGCGGGTCCGGCTCGGACGCGGCCGCGAGCGCCGCGGCGCGCGCGGCCTTGGTCGCCGCGCGGAAGACGGGGCCCCGCGCGGCCGCGGGCGCCGCGCCGAGCGCGCTCGTGAAGGCGTCGAGGGCCGCCGGCGGCAGGCCCAGGGCCGCGGGCACCTCGAGGCCCCGCCGCCAGTTGTCCACGGCCAGCGCGACGTTCGCCGCGGCCGCGGGCCGCCGCTCGGCGTCGTACGTCGCGAGGAGCCGCGCCGCGTCCACCCCGCCCTCCCCGGCGAGCGCGAGCTTCCAGCCCAGGTTGTGCGCGTCGCCGACGGCCGTGTTCAGGCCCAGCCCGCCGCTCGGGGGCATCTCGTGCGCCGCGTCGCCCGCGAGGAACCCGAAATCGCCCGCGGCGAAGCGGTCCGCGAGCCGCGCGCGCATGAGCCAGGGCCGCGCGCTCGCCACGGCGAGGTCCCCCGGGAGTTTCCCGTCGGCGAAGAGGGCCGCCAGCTCGCGGCGCACGTTCGCCGGCGCCGCCGCGTCGCCCGCGCGCTCCGCCGGCGGGAAGAACGGGAACTGGAGGTTGAACGAGCCCGCTTCGAGGTCGTGCGCGACGACGACGGACGCGGTCTCGGCGTTGAACACGAAGTAGAGCATGGCGGGCCGGTCGCGCACGCGCGCCGCGAGGTCCTTTGAGGAAAAGGCGACGGACACGAAGTGCTGGAGCGCCGGCGCCTCGTCGCGGTGCGGGACGCCGGCCGCGCGGTCGACGGGCGCGCCCTCCGCGCGCGCGGCCGCGGCGACGGCGCGCCGCGCGGGGCCCGCGAAGCCGTCGCAGGCGACGACGCGCGCCGCGCGCACCGTGGATCCGTCGGCGAGCGTCGCCGTCGAGCCGCCCGGCGCGACGTCGACCGCCGCGACGGACGCGCCGAAGCGCGCGTCGACGGACGCGCAGCCCGCGACGGCGTCCCGCAGCACGGCCTCGAAGCGCGGCTGGCTCACGTGGGCGACGCGGCTTCGTGCGGCGGCCTCGAGGTTCGCCCAGGCCGCGCGCGAGCCGTGGTCCGCGACGCCGTAGTCGCCGCGGCCGTCGACGGCGCCGCAGTAGCGGAAGCGCCGCCAGCCCTCGAAGGGCGGGTTTAACGCGTCGAGGGCGTCGCCGACGCCGAGGGACGCGCAGATCTCCACCGTGCGCGCCGTCAGCACGTGCGCGCGCGGGTGCGCGCTCGGCGCCTCGCGGGGCTCGACGAGGACGCAGTCCACGCCGCAGCGCCCGAGGCACAGCGCCGTCACGAGGCCGGCCGGACCGCCGCCGCTGATGAGCACCGGTGTGTGTTTTTGCGTTGATGCGTGCCTGCTGACGCGTTGCAGCAGCGGTCGGCGCACGAAGCGAGAGGCGGCCATTGCCTGAGCTGTCCGGGCGCCCGGGCACGAGGTAAACATGCACAGATGTTGTCGTGGAGCTGCCCCGAGATGCGCATGCTTCTCGAGTTCTTCTCTTCGTTCGTACCGGCCGTGACTGGGGTCGAAGGGGTACGCGATTGACTGCGATCGAACATTGAACCGGCCTGAGTGACTGGGGTGGAAGGCTCCATGTTCGAGCAGGCCCGCCAGTCCTGCGACCGTCTGAAGCGGCCGGCGGATCCGGGGCTGGCGCGGGTGCAGGAGGTCGTGGGCTGCGAGGGCTTCCTGGACCTCAGAGACCTCGGGGCGATCGCGTGCGTCGCCGACGTCGCCGAGGGCGCCTGGCGCGTCGAGGCGCGGCGGCGCTGGGGCGACGTCGAGCGCGGCGACTACCGGACGTGGAAGCGGCTGCTCGAAAACCTCGGGTCGCGGCCGCTGGGGGGGCCGAGCGCCATCGGGCACGTCGTCCGCGACCTCCGCCTCCGGAGCGTCCTCCCCGCGGGCGCCCTGGCCTCGACGCTGCGCGCGGCGCTGCCGCGGGCCCGGCGGGCCGTGACGCTGTACCTCGCGTCCGACGACTTCCGGCGCGTCGCCGGCGCCCGCGCGGACGCCATCGTCGACGACGTCGTGTCGCGGTCGCTCCGGCGCTCCGCCCGGCGGTCGCCGAGCGTCGAGGCCTGCCTCCGCGCGAGCCTCTCCGAGCTCCCGTTCCTGCCCATCGCGTGCGGCCGGGGCACGGACGCGCTGATCCGGGCGCTCGCGAAGCTCTACGCGGCGACGCATCGCGACGGGGTCGTCGATCCCTACATCCTGTTCTACAGCTTGATCATCCTCAACACGGACCTGCACAACCCGCGCGTGCGCTCGAAGATCACCGAGAACGCCTACGTCGCGTCGCTCCGGCGGACGGCCATCGAGGGCGTCGCCGAGGCCGACGCGCGGGCGCTCTACCGCTCCATCAAGCGCCGGCCCCTGAGCTGCGGCGCCGGGCCGGCGGCGGGCGGGTCGGGCGTGCTGCGCCTCTGCCGCGCGTTCGCCGGCGCGGCGATCTCGACGGCCGTCTCCGTCTCCCTCGGCTCCTCCGGCCGACCGCCCTACACGGCGGGCCACGTCCCGGACTATCGGCCCCACACCGCCGTCGCGCTCGGCTGCTTCGCGACGACCTTCCTCTTCTTCCTCGCGACCGCGGACGGGTAA